GTTTGGACTGCATATTGCTGTCAAGCATTAGAATTGAAGAAAAACCTTGTTTGAAACACCAATGTAAAGAACAAATAAATGAAATAAACTTTTTTAAAAATCTTGTTAATATATGCTAAGGAAAGTGCTTGGATGAATTGCATTCCTTGATTCCTGCCATATTCCATTGGTGAGAAGTAAGCTTCACTCTAGCAGCTTTTTCCCCATGAACCACTGTGCTGTGGAACTGATTCCCAAGAGGCTGTTCAAGTGTAGGGTTAAACCTCATCTTCCCCACCTATCTGCATAAACTGTACCTCTTATTCTGTAACCCACTACCTTGAGTCCCCCCCAGGACTTGTACAGATTGAACCTCGCTGTAAAAAAAAAAAAAAAATTTATCATTATTCAAAGACTTTCATCAATCTCTTATTTATTGATTCATTTTTTATGACTTATCAACCCTTTTTAGGTTAACCAGCAAATATTTTTTATATTGTAAGATTTTTTTTTTTTTTATATTGTAAGATTTTTTTTTTTTTTTATATTGTAAGATTTTTTTTTTTTTATATTGTAAGATTTTTAATAATAATAAAGTACATTTTACTAATTAACCCATAACTAGGGGGAGAAGTGGTGGATTCATACCTTTCTCAAAGGCATTTGCATGTAAGTGAATATAATGAATCAAATTGGAACTCTGCTTCCTGATTAACATTTCCAAGTCATTATCTATTATACGACCCATACATTCATGCTTACAGCACCTGGTATTTTCAAGCAGTCACCCATGTAGGTACTGACCAGTGTTGATGCTGGTTAACTTTGGTGATCATATGAGAACTGGTGTTTCAATGTCATATGGCTGTAAATTTTCATCATTCTCTGGAATTCATCAAGTTTAGTTTAGTTTTGTATGACTTGGGTTAATGTTTCAACCCTGAGCCTAGAATTTCTTCATATTTTATCTAAATATAACTTGGATGGTGGAGTCTTCTGTCCAGGATGTAACCACACCAATGACTTGGATAACTGGTGTATGCCCCTGGCCACAGGCCTAGATCTAGGAGAAAAGTGAAATGGAGAAAACACCAATGCAGCAAAGAAATGCTCACATGAAACTGCAGTGTTTCCAATTGGGTAAAGTATTATGACAAGGTTCTTGATGCCACTGAGGTTACCACAGAAAAAATACAGTGTTAGATTGAGCAAATGGAACAGTGAACCCATTCCTGCCATAGGTGTTACATTGGCAAGGAACAGTTAAAAAAATCAAAAAAAAAAAATCATGTCCAATGAACTTGGTTTCATCATTTTTTTTAAATAATTTTTTTTAACAGAAACCTTTTGATAATTTGATTTTAAAGGGCACATGTTCATTACTGAAAATTCAGTTTTTGATGGCAGAAGATGTTGAACTAATTCTCATTCTCTACCTATTGGAACTGAAACACGCTTTTTATGTCACCAGACAGCAAGTATTTTGTACCCTGATATTGATGATATATTAATCTATAAAATTGATCCATAAAATGGTTTTGTGATCAATTTTGTTTTCTAAATAGTAGTAAATTAATATCAGTTAGTAAATTTAAAACAAAGCACAGATTAAAAGGTTTTTGCTTTGTAACAAGATATAAAATATTTAAAAAGAAAAGTGTGCCCGTCTCATTACAAAAATGGGTCTAAAAGAAAAAGAAATGCTTATAGTTATCAGAAAATTGCAATAATTTTATTTAGTAGAGAAAAAATTTAAATGTGTCTGATTCATGTCATGTTCATTGGGATCTCACATTTTTATCCTTCATTTTTTTCAAAAAATATATATATATATATATATATATATATATAAGTAATCATCCAAAGAATTAGTAAAGTTAATGTAATTAATGGCGAAATCATTTCGCTAACAGATCAATAAAATATTAACCTACTAACAACTCTGAATGATGTGATCCTTATATTTAAAATTATGAGATGGATTAGACGTTCTTTTACAAGTATTTTTGAAGAAATTCACTTCTTCATCGTCAGGTATTATTTTCATTTCAGGTAAATTTCCAAGATGAAAATAAATTTACCTGAAATGAAAACCGTATTTATACCTGACAATGAAAGAGTGAATTAATTTTTTTTTTTTTTTTTTTTTTTTTTGTCACTCACTCACTCACACACCCTTTTTTCCTGCATTCATTCTGATATTATGATATATACATGACACAAGTTTTTCCTAAAACTTTGGTAGGGATTTTTATTTGATTAGTAGATAGACTAAATTGTGAAATCCCTTCAGAGCTAAAAAAATTTGCTTACCCTGTTGTTTCCTTAATTTAATTTCATATGCTCTCTTGAGGTGAGTGCTCTGAAAAATGAAAAGGTATTCCCTGTTGCAATGCTTAAAATATTGATGCTGTCTGTTGCTCTTGTAGTTTATTCTTCTGACCATGATTGATGTTAATTGGCCACCTATGTTAATATTATTTAGGGACATGTGTTACATAACATGTTTCTATAAATGTGTGGAAAGTTTTTTTATTGACTTTGGCTGCTGGTTGCCTTTTTATTAAAATGCCTTTTAACATTTTCAATTTAATGTTTAATTCTGAAGAATTTTTTTTCATATGCCTTTTGAATGTTTTTTTTTTTTTTTTTTTTTATTTTCATTTCATTGTTTGTTTTTTCATGCAAAACCCAGCAGCTTTATGAATGATAATAGCAGTTTGCAAAAAAAAAAAAAATAATAATAATTGATTAGTTAACATTGATGACAAAGTAAACTTTTGTTTTACTTTCAGATCAATTGTACTTAGTGGAAGTAGAAAAAGAAATCTAGTTTCAAAAGTTTGTAAAATAAGAATTTAAAAAAAAAAAAAAAAGAAAAAGTGGATGTACTTGAGTAAATCTTTCATTTTTAAATTAGTTATAAATCAAATGATTCTCCCCCATCATTTTTCTCTTAAATATGCTCCTTCCTCCCTCGCTCTCTCTTTCTCTCTCTCCTCAATGAAACAATTGTGACATTTTGTTCTAGAAAGGAAAACTAAGTAGGAATCTTTGTCTAAAAAATATAATCAGAAAACTAATCTTTTGTTAAAGAGACATGCTCGTATTAAGTAAAGATTAAAATGCCGAATAAAGATGGTTGTTTTATCTGAACATGATTATAAAAATTTCAAATAATAAAAAAAAAAAAAAGTCTCTTGAGATTTTTCTTTCTTTCTTTCCCAAGCCATTTTTTTTTTTTTTTTTTTTTTTTTTTTTTTTTTTTTTTTTGATAATTTATCAGCCAGTTCCAAGTGGTTAAAATTTGAGAAAAAGAACAAACTGCTTAAATTAATTCTCAGTTTTCTTTTTCATATGAAAATTAAATTTTTCTACTTAATTTTCATAAGACTTTAGAAGGGTGCCTAAAAAAAAATTGATCATTTTCTTAAGCAAAAACCTTCAGTGTTTAATGAGTAAAAATGACTACAATACTCATTTATGGTCAAGGGGATTTTTTTTCTTCTGTTGTACATTAGTCACAAGGCTAAAGGTCAATTTTGCAAAGTACTCCTCTTACATATACAAGGTGTGTTCACATAAAAAAACCCTTATAAAGCCAGAAAGGGTGAGATTTAAGAAGTCTTGATGACTGTATTTGAAGTGGCATTAAAATAAATATGAATACTATTAACTTTGTTGATTTAATGGGTGCTTATTGTGAGTCTTTTTGTGAATTATCCCTCTCCTACCAATTCATCTTGGTTTAAAAAAAAAAAAAAAAAAAAGTTTGATTCAATATGATGAGTTAAAAAAAATTGAAATCTGCATAAGACAATACTACTTTCAAGTTATCTAATCTTTTTTATACAGTGAAAATTTACTGCATTTACATTATTCAGACTATTGTCCTCATCTTTGTTGCCATATTTATTACAATGTTTTAGGTTTATAATACCCAGAAATTCATGTGTCCTTGAGGACACATGGCACAGTGGATAAAGTGACAGGGCCCAAAGAGTGTGAGTTCAATACCTGGTTATGGCAGTGGAGAACTTGGAGAAGGGAATTAATAGGAGATAACTGACATCCATTAGACATGGCACATGGAACTAGAACAGTCTACCCCAGTGAGCGAAATAAAGGGTTTAGTTCGACATTCCAACCACCTGAAGAAGGCCAGAGCGTACAATGGCCGAAACGTAATAAATATGGCAACAAAGATGAGGACAATAGTCTGAATAATGTAAATAGTGTACATAACTCATTTCAGAAATATAGACAGGAAAAATTTACTTTTTGATTTCTGTGAAAATATTTATTTTTTTTTTTTTTTTTACTTTAATTAAAATTCAACAATTTACAGATAGACAAACTTTTTTGTCCTTTTTAAAATGCAAATAGTCACCTACAGCTTTATCAACTGCTATTAATGTTTCTGCATAAATAAATATTTAAATGTTTGTTTTTTTTTTTTTTTTTTTTTCTAATCTCGCTCACATCTACCTGCTACCTATTCATCCTAGTTTAAACTTACCTCTCCCTCCACTAACAAACAGGTATTTTCACATATCTTTCTTGTATGACCACCTATTGCTTATTTCTTCATTTGTTGGTCAACACGTGGATATCCCTTTAGAACCTGAATCCTGTTCTGCTTGTTTTTATAAGTGCAGTGAAATCTCTAGCTTTGAGATTTCCCATTGTGAGTAGAAGTTTGTAAAATGAATTTTACTCTGAATTACAAGCTTACTGACTTTTTTTTTTTAACTTGTGTTTTTTTCCTTATGTTAGTTTTCCTCACTAGTATGCTGACTCAGTAGCACAGAACTAAACTGCATGCATACACCCATTACTTGTTAAGGAAAAAAAAAAAAAATGCACCACTCTCCCACCCACTTCCTCATACTGGGGGTCCTCATCTAAACAAACACAAAGAACAGTCAGTTGCTAGTGCCAAGAGAGGAAATCACTTTTGCTTCTCAGCCACTTGTGGTGCCATCTTTTGTCATCTAACAATTATATTTCTTCTCTTACAGTTACCCATGGTTGTATAATTGCTACTGTAACATTATTTCATCCAGATGGACGTGAGGCCAAGCCTATGTAAGTAGCTCTTATTTCATTCTGTCAGTGTTTGTATGTGGGATTGAAATAGGATATGTATATATAAAATAGTTTGAAAGTGTTTTCCTCAATATAAACTTGTCACATGTCTGCCTACATAAAAACTCAATTCCTGTAAGTATTCGTTTAATAGCCACGTAACAGGTCTTCAAGTTGTATCGTTTTACTAATCTGTTAACTTGCCTTACCTCCTCCTTATACCATTTTTAAAATTATTTTTCACACTTAAAATTTATCTACTGTTTTGAATTTTAATAATTTAAATAAAATTCTAATTTTATCGATTGAATAATAATTTGCCTATTCAATTCACAAATACCATTTTTGATTAATGTTCTTTGATGGTGAGGTTACATTCCAGTATACAGCTTCCAATTCGATCTAGTTTTATATTTATATTTTATGCAAAATTTTATAGATTATTGTTTACATTTTGTCAAAAGAGATTGAACAGAAATATATCATGTTGGTAATATTTATTCTCTATATTATATCTTTAGCATGTGTGTACACACACACACACACACACACATATATATATATATATATATATATTTACTTTAATGATTTACATTCTTTTTATATATATATATATATATATATATATATATATATATATATTATTTCAATCAATTTGTGATAATTTTCAAAATTTAAATATTTCTCTATCTTTATTATATTCAATATGTTCAATAAAATAATTAGCCATAATATATTGTGTACAATTTCAATATTTTTTTTCCAACAAAACATTTTGACAAACATCAACATTGTAAATACTGTTTTCTAACATATTTTGATGTGTCAATTCATATTGTTGTCTGATGTGTTCCTCTTTTTTTCTTTTTTTCTTAAAATTTTCCATATAGATTATTTTTTATTATTCATTTAAACAACATAAAAATTTAGCTTATTTATATACTTATTGATCACCCTATCAAAGATTGGAATATCTGTGCTCTCTTGTAAGAATCCAAGTGTCACTTCTGTTGAAGATCAGAGTATAGTATCTGTACACTTGTAAAAATTATATTTCTTTATTACTATAAATGTTAGATTTATAGTGGATACCTGTATTTGAGTAATTATCTTTTCTTTTCTTTTTTTTTTTTTTTTTTTTTTTTATTAAATTACACTATTTAAAGAATCTTCAAGCATTTTTAATAAAGAAAATGCTCTTTGGCTAGTAATAAACCTTTATTCCCCCACCCCTTTTATATAGTGTGGGGGGGGGGCCCACTGTGTAACCCAGTGTGCTTTTAAACCACTCAACCATGAAGGAATTTCATGGCAAAGCAAGCCTTGAAATAAAATCCATTAATCACACACACAAAAACACATGATTTATTGTTGATATTGAGATAGTTAAAACTAATTAGTTTCTATGAGGCAATTTCAAAATTATTATCTTTTGATATTTAAACTCATAGATGATGTATATTGTTGCATTCTTGCATGCCATTTTGGTTCAATTGTACAATCTTTAATGGTGTGAGGAGGTGACCTATAAAGTGAGAATTAAGATTAATCTTACATTCACCATCATTAAATTCCTCAAGAAGTGTTAATATTACCCTGACATTTATAGCAAATTTTGCTCATTAGAAGAGTTACATGTATATATATATATATATATATATACGGGTAATTTGGTAGTAATTTTTCTAAAGAGACTCCACGTATGTTAAATATATAAATAATTGCACAATGATTGAAAGTTTCTAGTGACAAAGTTTACAAGCTGAAATTTGTGAAAATCATGAATCCAAAATTTGTGTAAAAGGTTTCTTCAATTGAGTTAGTGTGAAGATTTACCATTAATTAATATTGTCTTTTTTTTTTTTTTTTATCAAATGTCATCTTCAGTGACCTATCTGACTTAAGTCCTAGACGTTTGTTAGAGACGGTTAAAAAATAGTTTTATATATATATATATATATATATATATATATATATATATATTGTAGTTTTGTTACAAAAGATTTTAATAGGTCACCTCCTCACAAATGGTTTTCAAAGGCTTGACTAACTACAAAAAAAAAAAATAAAAATATGTAAAACAGGTGCTTGGGATTACAATTTATTTTCATTCTGTATTTGTCCATATTGAAGATATCTACATTATCAAAAAGTTAGACAGCTCCAAAAATAATTCTTTTTCTTTGTAAAATTTTTGATATAATAAAAAATATCTGGGTTTTTAATTTTCTTGTATGTAATGCAGAGGTTGATGATCAGTGATATTAAATCAGCAAACTGAGCGCAAATTTCTGAGCTTGTTTATATGCACTTAGTACATACAGTAAGAGTAGTTGTAAAATTAAATGTATTCATTGCGGAAACTTTTTGTCATTCATTGACCAAATTTATTATTGTTTTGAAATTTAGTCTCTTTATTAGAAGAATTTCAGGAAATTTGACTCCTCAAGTGCACTAATGTTATAGCCCTTTTTAATACTGCTTCTTTCTGTTTTTTGGTGCCATGGAAAGTTAACAGCTTGGTTATATGATTATTTTCTCTTCAAGTTACATGTGATACCCGTTCCTGTTGTTGCTGCTCTTTGTGATGTTTCTAACTCCAGTCTGTAGTGTCTAATGAAGAATCATCTTTAAGATTTACTGGATTAATTTATTTCAAGCATTGATTTAAAAAAACTGTTGTTTGCCAATGGCAAAACTTTTTAGCTGCCAGGTCATTTTTTGGTACTTTTAAATTTTTTATAAACATAAATGAGTCTCTCAAATACTTACTGATGTGTTTTTCTTGTTTTTTTTTTTAATGAGAAACTTGTTGCTGTGTTATTTGCTAACATTTTAATTTGAGGTTCATACTTTATTGTTTTTAGCTGAACACATGCAGCATTTGTATTCATATGAAGGTAATTCCTGGGACTTGATTTTTTTTTATTTAGTTCATGGATGAAAACATTTCACATGAGTAAGAAGAACTAAAAAATAATTGGCATTGCTAGGGCAAACTTTTTCATTGATGGAAAAGAATTCATCAAGAACTGCCATTCTGCAAGAATTAAATTCTCAGCTCTGCTTTCTAAGGGTTTATTTTCTTTTGCTACATTGGCCAATAATTTTATTTCCTTTTTTTGTAACTTCAGGCTTTGTTTGATAAATTTTCTCTTTCACACTTCAGTTTCTGGAAGTCGACTAATTCCATTTCCAAGTTATTTAGATCAAGCCAATCAAATATGCACGATTTAAGATCATGGAAATTGGATAAATAGTATCTAGTTCTTGGAATTGAGAAGTGCTTGGAATTCTTTAATATTGACAAATACTTTTTGAGTACAGTTTCTTTTCTTCTGGTAGCTCTTGAAGCTAGAAGTTCTTCTTTAATTGGAAAATTTTTTCTTCCAGATCTTGTGAAAAATTTCTAGGTTTCTTTCGAAAGCTTTAATATGATTAAATACCAAAAAGTTATTGTAATGAAGTATGAAATCTGCAAAAAAAAAATATTTGTCATTCAACCATTTAATATTCTTCAGAGTCACTTCCTTTTTCGCTTAAGTCTTATTTCTTCTAGTAACTTCATAAATCGATTTAACTCTTGGTCATGGCATAACCATCTGACATTGCTGTGCAGGAGTAAAATGACTATTAACCTCATTCAATAGCTTTTGCTAAATTGATGTTAAGTACATGAGCAGAAATTTACAATTTCTAGGTTTTTTTTTTTTTTTTTTTTTTTTTTGAAAGCTTTTAAAAGAATTGTCAAAATTTCATGCTAGTTTTTTGCACATGCTCTTGATGCAAAATCAAAGTAATGAAATTCAATTGTTTAGTTTCTTGTTTCAGTAATTGAAAAACCAGCATTTTTCCATTCCATATACAAATTTCCAAATCAAGCTCAATAAATTCCATCTTCAATTCATCCATAACATGTTGCCTCTAGTTTTCTTTTGAAAGTGCCATTTTGATCAGTTTTTTATTTTTCTGAAAATTGATGTAATGTCCATATTTTTTTTCATCCAAGTAAATTAAAAACCTACTTGCATTTTTCAAATCAAGGAAAAAATGGATGTTAGATCTTTGTCCATAGCAATTCTCTCTTTGACCGTATTTCTAATGACTGGAAATTCTTTAATCCTTTTGAGGAAATTTTGAACATTTCAAAATTCTTCATGTGGTTAGTGATAGAGGCTAACTGAAAACTATCTGCAGAAATATATATATATATATATATATTTTTTTTTTTTTTAAATATCCTTTTGAATATCCTTTTGAATTTATTACCTTGTTGTTGTTGCTTTCTCTCTAAATAATTTAATTCATTTTTTCATTTCTCATAAATTCTGATTGCTTTCAATATGGTGCTTAATATTATATGAGTGTGCAAAAATTGACTCCTTACATATGCAGCATTTGTTTTGCTCAATAACCATTTTTTTTTTTTTTCACTTCCCATTTCCATTACATTCTGCATGCCTTCATTTCTTTGCGGTCATTCTTATGGATTATTTTTTTACAGTCTAAAAGGAAAGATCCCAAATGAATTCAGAATAATTAGGAATTTTAAATTATCTGAGCAGACACTAAAAATAGATGAGACTATGACTGATAAAATGCAGAGAGACAAAACCCTTCCTACATAAGTGTAAAAAATGTTTAAGTATACACAAAGTACTACAAAGATCAAGAAATAACTAAATTTGATTGGCCAAGCTATATTTAATGACACAACTTCAACTCCTCGTGGGTCACTAAAAAGTTGATGCTGGGTCAGTGGTTCGTCATCTCTGGTATAGGCGGTGGTTGCATACTGATGGTTTAGACAGGAGTTAGACACCATGTATACAGAGCTGGATTATAACTTTTGGGGTCCCTAGGCTAATGAAATTATGCTCCCCACCACCCTCAGTTGGAGCCACTTTCTAACTTGCCCTCAACCATCTTGAATATTTTTCTATTCATGATACAATTTAGCTACATTTACCTCATTTGAAGTAAACTTATTGCACATTTTT